ATTTACAAAATAAATGTAAATCGTAAGTTATTGTACACGTAAAATATTAAAATATATAACTCGAATACTTAAAATGTTTGTACAACAATTAAACGTACGGTAGAAACTAGATTTTCTAGCCTACATAATATTGTTATATACAAATAGGTATACAATTGCGCAGACAGTCAAGAAATTCGCCAGCGCAAACCGGTGTAGATTTCCCCTTAAAAAGTAAACCGGTGTGGTTTTAAGAAATTCGCTGTACTAAACCGATTTAAAAATGAGGCACACCGGTTTACTTTTTTTCGACCATGATAACGAGGTGGTCGATAAATACCGATCACGATTCATCCCCACCACAAACATGATATTTCCCCTTATTTAATTTGTTATCACGTTAACATTATTAGTTATCACGGTTGTTTAAATTTAAAATTCTAAATATAACTTATTGTTAATAATATGGTTAATAATTATTTTTTTATTAATAAATTATTAATTTAATATCAAACTATCAAAGTGACAAACCAGACAAGCTGCTGACAAAGTGCAATTATTATTTAATATGGAGAACTTCGAAGTTTCATTCAATATGAACGATTATCTCACAGTAGGTACTAATCATAATATGAATGAAACATTTGAAACTGAAGGTAAATTGCTAAGTGAATATTAAATAACTTAAATGAAAATGGCATACCTAGGTATTTTTCATATTTTTTATATTATTTAATCTGTGGTATTACCATATTTGTAGGTTCTATTGAAGAAGAAGTCGTGGATGTGTTCCCTAATGAAGATGACGTTCAAGAAACAAGTATGTGTCTAATTAATTTGAATTTAAGAAATAATAATTTAACAACAGTTTTTTTTTATAGGTGCATGGACAGCATCAGCAACAAAAAATCTGATTTGCTTGAGAGGACAAAATAATGCGCAGTTTGAGAAGTCCCTAAAGAAAGGTCAAAAGTCATTCATTTGGAAAAAAATTTCAGATGAAATGAAACAGCATGGTTATTATTTTGACGCAAGCCAATGTGATGAAAAGTGGAGACGTTTGTTGTCTCGTTATCGTCAAGTGAGAGATTCGTCAAAGAAATCTGGAAGTGGAGGCATTAAATGGCAGTATAATGAGGCAATGAGAGATGCGCTTTCGCCAATGGCAAGGCAGGCTGTTTCTCCTCCAAAAGGTAAAATTGAATATAATATTATTATCCATAGGGACTTTTTTTTATATTCTTGCACCTATAATTTTATTTTATTATACTAGGATCTCTGATATTTCTTTGTCTTGTATTGATCATATTTTTATAAGAAATATTAATATTTTAAATGCAAATTCATTTGTAAATAACACTAATATTACAGTACAGAGTTTGGAAATATTTATTAAAAAGGATTTTATTTATGAAGAAAAAAACAGTATTTATGAACCTATTAAGAAAAACACAATAAAATTTATGAACTACAATTTGTTAAATTATTTAATTTTCTCTTATGATTGGCAAAATGTACTTATTAGTAATGATATAGACATATTAGTACATAAATACAACCATAAAATAACTGATCTGATTTTAAGTACCTAAATCTAAAGATATTATTTTTAATATCATTAACTATAATAGTAATTTTAATTTTAATGTGGACTTTTCTTTATGCATACATTTTTACAATTGTAAATATTTAAATGTGCCATGTAAATGTATGCCTTTAGAGAGAGTTTAAAATGTAAAATACCTAGGAATTAATTTTGATAATAGACTCAAATTTATGGAACCTATATATTTAGTTAATAATTTAGTATGAAAATTATTTTATAAATTTAAAATACTTCATAATATCTTAGACATAAAAACTTTACGATTAGTTTTTTTAGCTATAGCACTATAAATTACTATAAATTCTTAACTTAAAATTATTTTAAATAAATCAAGATTATATTCAAAAAATGTATGTAACATAGATGTTTTTCTTTTACTAATTTTGCTCTGTATAAAAAGTATGTACTTAGTGTTTTAACCTATCTGTATTAGTGTATACAATAGTCTATAAAAATCTGCAGTAATTAATGTACATCCGAGCTTTACCTACTTATCCACTTTTTTACTTGTAGATGCTTGTTATATCAACAAATAAATAAACGTTTTTTAATATTTTTCTGTGTTGTAGATTTATTACACGAATCTTCTGATATTCAATTAGCATCCAGTTCTGCACCACAAGTTGAAGTTATAGCTTCTACTGCAATACAAAAAAACACACAGCCAAAAGCACCCGTCTGGTTTCAACAATTTGAAGGTTTAAAAAATAAACAACTTGAAGCAATTAATAAAAATGCAACACAACTTAATGATCGGTAAGTGGACTTATATTTTTGATATTATTCATGGAATGCAATTTCTTATTTTATGCATACTTCTGAATTAGATTTGACAAATTAGAAAAAAGAGAAGAAGCCATGTTGCTGATACAGGAACAACTTGTAAGCAAGTTGAGTGAAGCCAACACAATAGAATTACAAAAGTTGGAACTTTTTAAACAGATGTTTAATTTAGGTTAATGTTGACATCTAGGTATATAATATTTTATCATTAATTTACTGCTATTACCTATAAACAGTTACTATAATCTTTGTTTTTTTTTTAGTTCTATATGTTTTTATTTTATTTTATTAATTTTGCAATGCTATAGGGTATAGTATAATAAGTGTTACTGTAATTTTATTTGTTTTTGATTATATTAATTATAATTTATTTGAAAGTTAAATAAACTAATATTGTTTTAGATTCTGTTGATTTTACAATGATGTGTGTTTTGCAAATTTTGATTTTTCTTATATGACAATATTGAAATATAATAATATATCCTAGACTGACAAATCATCTCCATTCAGAATCGTTTTTTTTTTTTATGAAGTTTGTAATACGTTTATGGAAAGAAACTTAACAATTCAATAACTAAAATCTAGAGTTGCCCAAAAATTAATATTTTTTTACAATTTTTTATATTATGATGCAGGACTCCGAAAGGATCCATAAAAAAATAAATACACACACAATGAGTTATAAAGAAACTTATTTTTGTATTAATGTACATTTAGATTGCTAATAAATTACATAACATATTGCGTTTTTCTAAACCACTTATAGCTTCTTCTTCATTGGATTCCAGAAAATCAATTTCTGTTGATATTGGATCACAATCAAAATTGTCCTTCACCGACATACAAACATTATGTAAACAACATGCCGCAGTAACAATTTTACCACAAAAATCTTTTTTATATATATCCATATGTCTGTAATACAAAATACAATTCTACTTATTACCTAAATCAAATATTTAAGATGGATCTCTGTGTATTACACATGTATACATACTTTAATTTTCTGAACCTTCCTATTAATTTCCCAAATGCTTGTTCTATCAATATCCGACTACTACTTAATTTTTTATTAAATATTTTTTGTTGCCTTGTCAAACGTCCATTATCCTTAAAGGGTATCATCAAGCCTTCTGTTAATGGATATGCACCATCTCCAATAATATGGCATGATGGTGGCAAAACAGATTCAGGATCGTTAATTATTTTTTGGCCAATTTTACTACAACGGTATACTCGTGCATCGTGAGAACGACCAGGCCAACCAGCAAATATATCAATGAACATTAAAGTGGCATCAACAATTCCCTAAAACAAGTTGCTACTTAAGTTATTATAATTACAAAAAATATGATGTTTTATTAAATACAATGAATGTACATACAATTAATATAATTCATAAATAGTAATAGTATATTTAAAACAGTCTTGTAAAGTACTTGAGTAAAATGTTTTTGTACCTTTTACTAGACTGGTATTTTATTAATCACTTTTATCTGACCTGTAATATTATACTAGGCACTTGCTTCCTATTACAGAACATATTTCTGTCAAGTTTGTGCATCTTAGTTCTTTTTTCCCACGGATATAGTATATTCACATGACAACCATCAATACATCCAACAACATTAGGAAAAGAATCATCTCCACGAAGCCTATCAAACTGTTTTACATTATTTAATGCAGTTTGTCCCAAAGGCCATACAATAAGCTTCCCAGCTATTTCGTTAAATGCCAGTAGACAGTTTTCTACAATGGCGTGACTAGTGCTTTCTGCCACATTAAACCTATTTGAAATTTGTCTGAAATTAATTTAAATATATTGTTATTTATATATAAAACATAAATATAAAAGTAGGGATACTACCGATGCGTTTCACAATTCGCCATAAACCAAATGAACAATAGTACTTGCTTTTCGACATTGATCTTTACAGATTTTGATTGTAAAATAGGACCTATATATGAAATAACTACCTAAAAAAATTAATAGGGTACATAAATAATTGTTGTTTTTTTTTTTAATACAGCTTTCAATACTTGACTATTACAAAAACTGTTGGTTTTTATTAAGTGTTTAAAATAATCAAACGAACCTGAACACTACTTCTATTTAAGCGAAAATGAGATTTGAATTCCTTATCTTCAAATCTGGGAACCATAGTTTCAGCAAAACCTAAAATTTTTGTTTTGAGTTCTTTATTTTTACTCTCTTCACTGAACAGAAGTACATCATCCTCAAAGTCGTCAGTATGTCCATCATCAAAATTAAGTGAACGAACTAACACATCTAATAAAATATATACCATGTAATGAGACGTAGTACAGCTGTTTTCATTTCATTTAATACAAAGTTCTTACTTTTTCTTGCAGGAAATGTTTGAACAATGAGATTTGGTACACGATTCCTACTGAGGATAAATTCCTTAAATAATTTGATTTTCATATCATCCATTTTAAAACTAATAACTATTTATTAATAATTAATATAATTTCATATAATAGACAACGAACACAAGAATACAAAATAATATAACGGATTAATGAAATAAGAATATTATATGTATTTCAAGTAATCAAGTTACTGATAGGCTGATGTGATATTTTTATTTTTCATAATATTATAATTAATTTAAAAATGGCGGGAATATAAATGTCAGAATTGTGATAGTAATTTATGGTGGGGGTAAACCGTTCTAGTTACCGAATTTCTGTCTAAACCGGTGTAGATCAACATGAACCGGAGTCATGAATCGGTATCATAATAAACGGTACGGTATTGCACACCGGTTTGTGCTGGCGAATTTCTTCAGTGGCTTTAATTAAAAGATGGTTTGTGTATAAGAGTGAATAATGAATATTTAAAATATGACGACAGCAATGCGGCATAATATACGACGTGTATGCATTGTATATTATTTTACACGATCCGTCATAGACGGAGGTCGAGAAAATAATAAACATCGCTCCCGAATGAGCACAATCGTCGGCCGACAGTCGACAATGTGTAGTGGGCGTGGCTTAAACGTCGCGTGCTTGCGGATCACGAAAACACTTAACAGCGCATTCTCTCGGCCGTTGTATACGTTTCGCTTTCGGTGTGGCGTCCTCTTAATGGAAAAAAAGTTTTTCCTGTTTCTGTAATTCTCTGCATTATCGCCACCTGGTGATGATATTTTAACATGTGTACAATCAATGGCTCCGATACATCGTGGAAATTTGGCTTTCAAATGAAATCTTGTCTGAAGATCTGAAATTTCATTAGCATTGCTGGGCATGTTTATAAAACGTGGTCTTAGGCTTGCTAGAGCAATATTCATTTTTTTTATTATATTTAATGCAGTTGAGTAATGAATACCAAATAATTCACCAACATTTATCAAAAATGAGTCTGAAGCATAAAACCTCAGTGTTAATAACAATTGTTGTTCAGCAGTGACAGCACGATTTCTGTATAGGTATAGATAATAAAAGTATAAAATTTGAATTAGAAATTGAGGAACATAAAACTACTTTTACTAAGCTACATGTAAAATTAGTAATTACAGGAAAAAAATGTAAAAGTAAGTAATTTTTAGTAAAAATGTTGTATGCTGTAGTAATAATTCGAAATTTTAGATTCTGAACGAATGTATTGATTTTACTATGAAGTGTATTTTTTTTTGTGTCTGTCATCGCCTTTTGGTGCAATAAGAATGCCTAGATTTGTAACTTTAAAAGTTATTTCCAATACCTAGCGGCTAGCAAAGTGAATGTAATGGGTACTTTTAGGTGTCAAATTGTGTTTATTAAACTAATAAAAACTATTGTATTAATAATAGAAAACTATAATTACTGTCATTATAATTTGAATAATAAAAAAGTGAGCAATTGGGTGTCGCTCTGCTGTACATTAGGTTACAAGTTGATCACTGTAATGGATTGTGTTAAATTTGAATTCAATGATAAGAAAAACGATTCCAAGCAAAGACAGCCAGTCAGTCTATACTAAAGTATAATTTGATGATATTATTGTGAATAAAATAAATAATATACTTATATCGTATAATATATTATAGGTAACCTATTTGGCTATTTACGTGGAACCTTGTTTTAATTTTTCAATCCTTAGCTATAAAAATTTAACATTTTATACATTTTTAATTTTAGATTTGATAAATTTTGTCAAAATTTGAACTTTAAATGCTTATTAAAAAAAAAAAAATGTGACTATGTATTTTTAATATTTTTCAGCAGCTTCTGTAACAATATATCATGGAGCATTGTATTACATTTCCAAGCTTTTTGGCTCAACAAATAAAATGTTATTGATATTTATAGAAAAAAAAACTAAAAGAATTGGAAACTAAATATTTCTGTAAATAGTTCAAAACAAATCAAAATATTTTGAAAATTTTGAAAATTTTATCATGTATAGAAAATGCTAATATAAACAACCAGTGAAAATGTCATGTATCTACTGTCTTTTTTTGTTTAGAGTTACACCAAAAACTAAAATCTAAAATATCGTAGCTAAGGCAGCTAGGCTGACATATCGTTTCAGTTCATAACCATTTTTCGTATCATAACATTCAAATTTAATACGTCCATTATAATACGTTCCTGGATTTTTGTTTTACCTTTGTGTGACAGTTGTAACTCTTTGTTGTACCATTTCTAAAACAATTTTAAACGTGTTTTTACTCAAACGGAATCTGGCAAAAAAATCTTGCTCATCCCATTTAAATAAATGGTCTATTCTTATGGATAATAAATATGGTCTTCGAGGTTTGTTGAAGTATTGATTCATATTACCCAAAAATTCAATTTCTTCATCAGTACTACTATCACTACTACTGCTGCTACTTAAATAAGCCAGAGCCATCTAAGATTAATTTTAAATACAATTTTTGTAATGTGACAATATCAAATAGTTATTTTTTAAATCAATGGCACTTACATTGAAATAATCACCAATAAACTATAAATAGAATTCAAAAAATCAAAAAATCAATGAAATAAATAATTGAAAAATCAAACAAAATGTAATCGCAAAATCAATATAATCTAATATTGTATACCTAATCTCTAGTTAAACTGTTTAACTAGCCAAATATCTAAGATTAATTAATTTTCGGTTAAAGTCCAGTTAAAATATTAATCCAGTGATCATAAAATCACATTTATGGTTTAACTGGGGATTAAGATTAACTGAAGTTTAAATTATCATAACTGGAGATTGATAAAACGGCCCTTAAAGTAATAACGCCTCATAACAACTATTGTAAATTAAAATAACAACACGTATAATGAACATACAATATAAGAATCTTAACAATGCGCTTCCATGCATGGGTTCATAAAATCTTAGAAGATTAATTTTTAATTTAACATGGAAGTGTATAAATATATAATATGGTCCTGATTAGACTATGGATTGCAATAAAGATTTGTATGCTATAATTTAAAGTTTATAGCATAGAATATTGCTCATCATGAACCATATTTTATAGTTCGCGCACGTGCATTGTTCATCGCCTTTTGTTTTTGCGCATACTGCTTTGCATAAGATTAAATGTAAAAGCGTGACATCATCTTAAGTTTATTGGTGGTTGCATAGCCCCCTCAAAACGTACAAATAGAAAAATTAGCCCCCTCAAATAATTGGTCACTGCAGGTTACAGTAATAAATAATAATAAATATATGCATGTTAACTTTCAATTCAAATATTGTTGGAACGTGAATAAAAACATTTACAGTTTTAGAAAAAAAAGTAGGATGTGATATATTTACTGATTTCATTGTCAAATGCCAAAGTCCATAGAGCACTGCAGCATAATAAATATTTAAGTATCAATGTATATTCGTTTATTCATTATTATGTAGTATATATAATTATATAAACGATATCAATTGAATCTAGTGACTGATTTTAATGCGCAGACATCGATATCATTATTTTCTTGGAATCGCCAACTGCATCGCGTTATCCACGCTATCATTAATAATATGTTATGAGAGCTAAAAATAGACGAAATAGTAAATGCCAATGTAAAATTCGACAATTTGAAACATACAACAGTGACATTTCTATTTCAATAATCATTAGCCATTCAACCATCGCCCATTGCGACGTATTTACTGTTAAGTGTCGTTTCGTTTTTTTTTGTTCGATATTTTTTTAAATATGTCCAAAAATGTATTTGACATATTCAATTTCAAAAAAAATAATGTTCTGACCGCCGATATTGAGCAAGTAATTAATTTTGCATTATTTGAATCATCTTCGACTGTAAATACAGGCACGGAAAAACAATCAAATAAACATTTAAAGCATAATAAATTGACTATAAGTGATTTGGGAACTTTAGACACAGGCCCTGTTCGTCCATTGCTAAAAGTAAGTATTTTTAGTTTTTACTTGTACTTGTAAAATATTGAATTCAAATAATATAAGACTATCATATTGAAGTTGATTCAATATTTTTTTTTATAACTGTAGACTTATCCAAAAACTAATTTTGGTTCTCAAAACCGAAGTTTTAATGATAAATACTATTCAAAATATGAATGGATTGAATATAGTATTGTGAATGATGCTGTTTTTGGTTTTTGCTGTCGTAATTATTGTACTGGAAAAAGTATGTTTAACAAATTTAATGATAGTTGGTACCAATAATTTTTATATTATAATCTGACATGTTCAAAATATTATATAATATACTCAATTGAGTAATTGACCATTTAGTTAACTGGATCAAGAGGGAAAAAAGGCAATAAGCAAAGTAAACTTGAAGCACATTCAACTTGTAAACACCATTTGACTTGTATGACTAAATGGGACATGTTGAAGGTAAGTCATCGGGTAGCATTCACGAACAACTATCTTCAAGCCATAAATTGATTGTTGAAAAGAATAGAAAATATATAAAAACTCTTATTGAAATAACCTTATTTTTGGGAAACCAAGGACTGGCTTTCAGAGGGCATGATGAATCTAAACTTTCTTCAAATAAAGGTGAGTATTATTATTAGTATTATTTAAGAAAATAATGAACCCCAATGAACATGTTCGTATGGGAGGCCATATTGTGTTCAGAATTTGTAATACATATATGTATTCATATTTTATTAAATAGGAAATTTTAAAGAAACATGTGATTTACTGGCAAAAAATTGCCCTGAATTTGAAGAAAAGTATAGCAACACTACTAATTTCACCAGTCATTTAATTCAAGATGAATTGGTAAACTTATCTGCAGCAAGAATTCGGTCCAAAATAACCCCGGAAATAAAATGTAATAAAGTATTTGGAATTATGATTGATGAAGCAAGGTACCTACTACCTATTACCTAACATTTAAATATTTAAGAATAAATGATTCAATATTAATAAATGCTAACTATTCACTATTTATACTTAATTTTAGATGTTTTAAGGAAGAACAGATGTCTGTATGTGTTGGATACACTGTTGGTCTAAATGTTGTTGAACGTTTTCTGGGTTTTGTAGACGTTTCAGAAAATCAAAATGCCGAATCATTATGTGCTAAAATATTTGAATTCCTTACTGAGAACCAATTGGATAAATATCACATTGTAGCACAATCATATGACGGCGCCAGTGTCATGTCTGGCAAATTTAATGGTGTTCAATCCAAAGTAAAAAACATATCCCTATGCTATTTACACCCATTGCATGGTTCATCGGATGAACCTTGTTGTCATTGATATGTGCAAAATCGTAAAGGTAATAAAAAATACAATACAATATTTTACTTTTTGGGAAAATTGTTGTTAAAATGTTTTTATTTTTTAGGAAACTAGAATTGTTTTCAACACAATAGAATCATTGTATAAGCACTTTTATCATCCTACTAAAAATAAAACTCTAGTTACTATGCAGAGGAAATTAGGAATTAAAATATCAAAAATAAATTCTCTGAGTGATACAAGGTGGAATTGTAGATGGAAAAACTGTGAGTCAGTTATAAACAATTATGAAGCAATTATTGCAGTTTTGCAAGAAGAAATAGATAATCAACTGGACCGTAATGCAAATGAAGCTATTGGTATACTCATATTATTTTTAATTAAATATTAATACTATTGTCCAATTATAAGTACCTGACTAATTTAATATGTTTTGAATATTTTTTTATAGGTATACTTTCAATAATGCAAAAAGGGTCATTTGTTGTTTTTCTATTCATTTTGCAACATGTATTATTCTCTATAAATATACTGAGCAACAAGTTTCAAGACAAAGCTGCTACATTGGGTGAAGCGGCTAATCTAATAAACAAAGTAATACTAAGTTTTGAGAATGCTAGATCTACCATTGGATTTAGTGACTAGTGGTTAGACATAAAAACCTTTTGTGATAAAAATGATGTTAAACTGATACTACCTTTTCAAACTCAAGGTCAGTATTGTGTTTGTGTACCTACTAAAAATATTTGTTTAAATATTTATTTATTTAAATTAATATTATTGAGTTAAGCTTATTAAATATGTTTATTATTAGCATCTAAGCGAATAAGACGTGAACCCAATGTTTTTGAAGATTTCATTCTAACAACTACTACTGCCGCAGAATCATTTCATAATATTGAAACAAATAGTACATCAGTCGAAAAATACTATTTTGTAAATGGCTATTTTAAAATATTGGATTGTATAATTGTCAACTTAAAGAAAAGGTTTTCAACTGTAAGTCTTCAAATGGCTGAAGCTGTAGACAATTTTATAAAATTAGATTTTAAAAAGAGTGAATTATTTATTAATCATTATAAGGTAATTTCATTATAAAAACTTGCTATCAAAATTTCATATTATTGAATTAATAAATAGTTAATAATGTTATATGTATATTGTAAATTATTCTTATTATTCTATTTCTAATTAAAGAAAATTGTTTATTTTCTAGGATTTATTGGATGTGAAAAGTATAAGTGTTCAATCAGAAATGCATGTTGTGAAGAACTACTTACATTTATCAAATGACAAAAGCAGTATTAATTTAGAAGCTTTGACTTCAGTACTTTCCAAAACTATATACCCTAACATGTATAAGCTTATGCAAGTTGCACTTACTCTTCCTATTAGTTCGTCAACGTGTGAACGTAGTTTTTCTGCAATGAGAAGGATTAAAACATGGCTGAGGTCATCCATGTTACAGAATAGATTTAATAACTTAGCTATAATTAGTATTGAAAATGATATTTCTAAAAAAATTGATAAAGAAGCCATACTAGATTTATTTGCACAAAAAAATAGATATATTATTTTAAAATTAATATTTTTTAGTTTCATTACAAAGAGATTTCATTATTAAAATTCAATTATATGTTTGTGTATCTAAGTTATATGCATAGTATACTATATCTATCTAAAATAAATCACGCTTAAGTCTTGAATGATGCTTAGAGTAATATTATATATATATTTTGTTGCTTTGATATGCAAAAAAGTATTTTTAAATATCAGCGCCCTCTAAAATTATGGAGAATTTTCGCCTATGATTGTCACTTAAAAAAATATGTGCAGTTTTATCATTAATCATACTTCTTATTCCTTGCACTAATGATAATTGTAATTACAATGAAGTCCGTCGCAACCTACCTCTTATAATCAACTGTTATGTTATCGCTTGTGTAATAAGCCGATGTTTTTACATAAAAACATAATTCCAAAGTACAGACGGCTACAACAACATCATGACTGTGCTGCCATCTCATGGGTGTGGGGTAATACATCAACACTAACATTTTTAAATAAATAAAAAAAAATACATTGCGACCCACCGAAGAAACTACGTTTACAACAAGACCGAAAAGAAGAGTCTTGATAAGTCAAGCGTATTCAATTTGTAATCCAAAACATTCAAACTTTAATACAGAATATTCAAATTCAATCTAACAGATAGATCAAAAGGTTTTTGATTTGGGCAACAAGGTATAAAGAAATTGTAACTATTTAAAACCATTTTAGGTCCATCACATTGAACAAAGTATTGAACTTACAAGTATAGCTAAGTCAAATGAAGCAAAATAGACACACATTTTTAGAATAAATCGGTCATGGTGAAAGACCAACTTTACGTACATAGTGTGTTAGGTTAAGTTTAACCTAACCCCCCACAGTAAATCGGCCACAAGTCGGAACGAGGATGGAACAAGCAAAAAACAATCGAAAGTATCGGGTCTGGGTTCAAAACTCAAAAGTTAGGCATTTCCTTTGCACTCCCTGTAAATCAGATACAAGTTGAGAACGGAAATGGAACAAACAAGAACAAATACAAACAATTGAAAACCCAGAGTTTGGTTCCAAAATTCGAAAATAAGAATTTGGTGTGCCAGGGATATGCACCTTTGATATGATTGAACTTGTGTTAGATGGATACAAAAAAACTTATATGGTTACAGATAATGTGTTAAATTTTGTTATGGAAATTTGGTGTAATAAATATTTATTATTAAGAGAAGAAAATTTCAGCTAATAATTTGTCTTACTTGGTATTTTAATTTTTAACAAATAGTGCGCTGACTGACTTCTTAACCTTTTATCGGTTTTTTTTTCACATTTGCTGAACATTTTTCAAAACGTATATGTATTTGGACAACTGTTGTTGCCTCGGTGGGCGATTACGCTATACTGTATGGATGTTGTATTGGTATAAGATTAGTGAGGGGACTTGGCTAGGCAACCTCACTCCCGTCATTGCCATAAGCAGGAATGATGGTGGAGATGAGTCGCGACCGACACACAAGAATACCAACACATACAGGACGAATTAATTGAATATAATTTATAAGACACGGGATGGCGAGAGGACGGAACAAGCTGGTTTGACACAATACCAGCATAACTTATGAACTAACTTAATGACTAAGGCAGGCAACGATGACACTTGTACCTGAATCCGTGATGCTCTGGTCGACCTAGGCGGCCTCTCACTTATGTGTCGTGGCCGAAAACTGATAGGTCCGCGAATGCCCGATGATCACTTACCATAAGGTGACACACACAAGGTTGTCCACAAATACAACTAGGTAAGTAGATAATGAAAGTAAAAAACTTACACGCTGTATTTCTGAATGTAGATCAGTACGTTTTTATTGAATGACTCTGTTTGAGCCACCACCAAAATACACAGTATAGTATATAAATTTTACCACATTAACAAATGGTGCTATACTAATAGCATTGATTAAATATACATAGATAGCCCACGCAACGTTAAAAACTGTTAATGAAAAATCGAGGTATTGGGAGCCTAAATATAATAGTAGGGGAGCCTGAATTCAGAGAGCGCTAGAGTAGTTTTCGACAATATCACAACCGCGGTGGTAACCATGATGGTAGTACTTGGTAGCTCATGATGGTATTTAGATTTACTTAACAATTTATGATAAGCGGTAAGTGATAACATTTAATTGAACAGTTAACTGCAAAAACAACTGTCTTATTGTCTTATATCTAGGTAATTCGATTATGCTCTGACTACAGACTCTCTATACGACTATTAATTATACCTACATTTATTACGTTATTGTGCCGTTATTGTATATTATAATAATTGAAGGGGTCAGTGGATAAAGGTGATAACTCACAATTTTGAAATTATTCAGGAGGACAGTTTTAGTGGCTTTAATATATAAACGTTTGGAACTTTTGAACTGTTCAAATGCTAAAAAATCTTTGAAAACAACAATTATATATTTTATACTCATAAACAAATCTCTAAAATGTTATACTCCCACTTCTACTCAGGAAAGATCTATACCTAATTTAGTAACTTAACACCTTCATCTACCGAACAAATTAATATAAATAAAATAAAATATGAAACAAAGGTGTTACAAAAACATTAATTTTTATTAAAATATATGAAATATTAATAATAATACCGCTTTGCTGTAATATTATTCTTTAATAAAAAGCAAATTAAATTAAAAAAAAAAAATTAATAATTATTATTATTTTTGTTTACAATATTATAATAACTGTTCATAAAAACATTTGTATTCTTCAGGAACAAACTGTAATTGAGACTTTAAATTTTCAATTTTTTCATTAGAAATTGTTGTTGGCTTTATGTATTGAGTTAATGTACATTCTTTTGGGGTATTTGTTTTATCTTTAAATATATTTACTGTTAAAAATGGTGTCTCCTCATTCAAATCTTCTTTATATTGATACATTCCAACAGTGGTGACACGTAACCATTTAATTCCATCACGAAAACAAACTTTTTCACCTTCACAGTTTTTTTTCTTATTCGTCAAACGTAATTTTATTGCAATATTCTCTATATTCTTAAAATGGTGTTGCATGTCACTAATGACTGTATTTTTCTTTGAAGCTTCTTTAATTATATTTCTGTACTGCTCAGGTGTATAAATATTTTGATGTTTTCTTAATCTCTTTTCAATCCTTCCAAAATCACGATCAGAGTCCAAATATGAATGACCTACCTCTGGAAACTTATGGTCTATAGTATGGAAATAACCTTTCATAATCATATATTGGTACAAACATATAATATTGAAATTTTTATTTTGCCCAGCACATGAGTCAGACCAAATAATAAGGTGTGTTATATTTTTCAAAGCTATAGTTTTCATAATTTGAACAAAATATAACAAACAACTGCCAACTTCATTACTTCCTTTGCCTCCTATATCTTCTGTCCATGTGAACATAAATGGTTGGTGTCCATTGTCCGCAGATAATGTATGAACACCAAAGTTATAGAACCATAATTGGCGAAGATAAAAAGCTTTTGATGTTGAAAGTTTAGGTAGTGCCATGGTTTGTTGCAAGTCCATAGTTAGGTAGCAAATGGTAGAGTCTAGTATTATTTTTTCTTTATCTTTGCGTTGGGCTTCAAATGCATTTTTATAACTTTGAATGTGATTAGTATCACTCACCTGGCCGGAGTCACAACGACTGCATGTGTCACTTTTTGGGTTTCCAAAATTCAAGTTAAACCTAGTACAAAATATATTTCTATAACTTTCTTCTTTTACTAAGTAGGAACTTGACATATTATCTTCTTTGCATTTTTCAGTGTACAATAAATACATTTTTTTTATGTTCAATAACGATGAAAGATATTTCCTGTTGGGGTTATTATTTCTTGAATAATGTGATGACTCAGCAGGAAAACTCTCAATATGATTCATAATGTATTTAAGAGTTAAATCAGATATCCTATTTGGACGATTTTCATGTTTACCTTTTCTATCTAAAGGAGGCGAAACATCACATTTAAGTTGGTTTTAAATCAATTCTATTTTTTTGCGACCAATTTGATAAATTTCACAAAAAGCAGTTTTACATACTTTTATATCATTTTCTTCAGTTTTGACAAAATACTGGAATGTGTGAGATCTTACTTTCTTTGGTGTACTATTAACTGTTCTACGGGCTGTTTCCAATTTTTTTATACTCTTAAAAATATATGCATTTTTTACATTTACATCCATTTTATAATACGCATTAAATAAATTAGTTCTTGATTCAATATCTACATTTGTAGAACATTGCAAACGGAATTGAAGCTGACACAATTGATGTTTGTTAACAGATTTTGCTGGAATAATTTTTCCTTTCTGAGATATATATTCTTTTCCTTCAGATCTCTGTAAGGCCGCTTTTTTCTTCTTCCAATTGTCTTTATTTTTCTTTCTTTTCCTACTTTTTTTTTGTTTATTAATTTCATATTCTATTTGTAAATCATCTTGGTTATTATCTATAAAATAATTTTTATAAATATTATTAGCATAATGTCTGATGTTAAAAAATATTAGATATATACATATAGAAAATAATAAATAAATTTATTACCTGTGTTAATCAAATGAGGATTATCAAAGTCTAGTCTTCTTACAACTGGTTCTATGAAAGGAGTAATAATGTATTCTTCGTTTTCATGAGGAGTTCCTGGTATGATATCAATATTCAAATCTGCAGAGATGAGTATAATATATTGTTAATACATATCTATATGAATATGTTTGAGCTATTACTAAGGGTGTTGTGGGGTGTATGATATATCAGCCCAAAAGCTATTTTTCTACAATAAAATAAATATTCTTAGTTCAATATACATAACAATTTTTTTAAGTATGCTCTAATCACCCTCAAAATAGAGACTAGTTATGCCACGGATTACAACAAATGTATTCCTATAATAATCTGGTTAGAATCATCATTAGATAATAATAATAATATTAATAACTATTTTTTTCTGGTACAGATATTATTATGTTATTTTATAGAAAATTGGTTAAATTTATTATATATAATATATATAAATAGTATTTAAAATTCTACATTTTACTTTTTTAAGTTAAACAAAATAATCTGTGTTACTAAAATAATAAAATTATAAAATTTAACATACCTACACTATTATATAACAATAATTTACTTAACGAGTAAAAAATATATTTTGCTAACTTGTCAATTAAAAATATATCATTTTAGAATTATATCCATTTTTGTAATGTTCATATTATGCTATTACCTGTATTAATAAAATGAGGATTATCAAAGTCTAGTCTTCTTACAACTGGTTCTATGAAAGGAGTAATAATGTACTCTTCGTTTTCTTGAGGAGTCCCTGGTATGATATTAACATTTGGATCTGTAGAAAAAAGCATCAGTATTATCTATATGAATATGAATATTTTTAAATGTTACTGTTATTACAACAAATGTATACCTATAATAATCTGGTTAGGATCATCATTACTTAATTTTATTTCTTTTTGTTCTGATGTAGTTAGTAAATTTGTTATATTATAGATAAAAGGGTTTTCTGTATCAATAGAAGTTTGATATTGAGTGTCTAAATAAGTAACAAAATATATTAATAGTAATGATAGTAAAAAAAAAAGGTGAAATTATTATAATTTGTAATAAATATTATATTATATATTAGGTACTATATAGTATTATAGTAATATTATATTTTCTTTTTACCTACTATGTAATATTATGTAAGTATATATAAAAATTATATTAAATACCAATTTATCGTTTTT